GCTGCAGAGGGTAGTATTTCACTGGTCAGGGCAGTCATCAGTATGGGAGCTGATCCTATTTATCGATCAACTGGTAAATTGAAGAAAGTGAAGCACGAGGCCTTAGCGAAAGCTACCATGAACGGACGAGCCAGAGTGGTCGACTATCTCTTGAGAGAGGGTGCCACTTACGGAGAGGCAACGAAAAGAGAAGACTACACTCCAATGGATCGCGCGCTCTTGGCGGCTGCCTATAAGGGACACGCAGACCTCATCGATTGTCTTGTACATCATGGCGCAAACCCAATGGTCGAGCAATGGCCAAGAGAGATGTATGACGCGCAGCACTATTGGAACGAAGTACAGGTTCGCGTTACGAAGACTAGCTTCCTTGATGGCCTATCGAAATGGAAGAATGTCGATCGCGGTATGAGTACCCTGAAACTCGTCATGCAACATCAAAACTTCGATCCCACAGCCTTCGTTGCCGGGGCATTCGACAACAAGAGCGAAACAAAGAACGCTGGTGTCACAAATCGCCCGTGGCAGACGACGTACGAGTACTCTGTTCTGTCTTGCTTCATCCGTGCCGGATGGGCAGATGCGGTGGAAGAGATGTTAAGCATGAAAGGCATGCCGAGGGACTACGAGAAAGAAGACGATGTTTTGTTGCATCAAGAAAAGCTTACAAGACTCGTATCACCAATTAACGCATTGACGAAAGAAACCTGGGAGAAGCGACCGGAAGACGCACTTCGTATACTAAGGCTACTGATCGACAGAGGCTTCAATCTATGTCTCACGCAACGGACAGCCACAGATCTGGGCCCAAGGACAGCGCTTAGCCGTGCGATCTCAGCAGACGCTGCACAGGCGGTCGAACTCATCCTGCAGACCAAAGGCAGTTTGCTACGAGAGGAAATCTCCTTCCGACGAAACAAAAAGGAGACCAAAGCTTTACCACTCGCCACTGCTCTCTCACTGGACTCGCTGGAAACAGCTCGCGTACTTCTCAGAGCAGGCGCACATCCCCGCGACCCAGCTTTCGAAAATATGAATGTACTGCAATTCGCGGCGTACCAAAACAGTCCGACCAACACTACAATGCTCGAAGAGATGATCGGCCTCGCCCCAGAACTAACATACGACGCCTTGAGCTACGCCATAAAGGGCTCCAATAAAGATGCAGTGCGCGTCCTTCTCAACGCCATCTCTGCAGCAGCCCTGCGCGAACAAATCGCCGCTCTACCACCCATATACGACATGCTCCTCCACTGCACTCCCCCCACCAAACCAGAAGTTCAAACCCAGTATCTTGAGCTCATCGACATGGTGATCCAATGGGATGTCGGATATGCGTTGCAGCGACCCAGGCTTTCGGCGATTTTGTCGGCGATTCGCAAAGACAACTACATCGGTATGGAGAAGTTACTCCAGAACAGCGTGGTGGACGGCAGGAGTTTGGTCTTGAACAGCAAGGCGCAGCCGTGCGGCGAGTTGGGAACATGGACTATGCTCGAGTGCTGCGAGTTGACGGATAGGAGTTCGGAGTGGTTGGGTTTGCTGAGGAGTTATGGGGCGCCGCTGTATCATTGATACTTACTGATATCCTGCGTGAAATGCCGAATAGCTGCTTCAACCTCGGGCTTCCGTCCCCATTTCCCCTTGTACTTGCCACCTTGCTGCTTAATCCTCTCTCTCTTCGTTTCAGCAACCCATTCTCCGCGGAACCTCTGTCTGGGCTTTGCTTCTCCCTCTTGTGCCATCTTCCTCTTCGTGCTTCCTTCCCGTCCGTTGACATGTCCTTGGTTAACTGGATTGGCCGCGACCCATTCCTCGAGCTGCGGTCTGAGCTTGGGGCCCCAGACATGTTCACCAGCATCCAGATCATCATACGGGATCGCAGGGGTATCCTCCGGGAACGGAGAAGGCTGGAGCACGAAATTGGCTTGCACTTCGCGCTGAAGCGCGACCATGTGCGAAACGGTACCGCAAGCGACACCCAGATCGTGCGCAAAGCTGCGAACGTAAAAGCCAGAACACACCGTCAATCTGATCCGTACTGCAGGTGCTGGAGCCGGTTCCTCCTCGCCGGGGAAGGCGAAGTAATGCTGACCCGCATCATACCATTCCAGTAGATCACACCTCTTCACTTGCATCTCCCTACTTTCCAACGCTCGAGGCAACTCCTTGCCCTGTCGCACATACTCGCAAGCCTTGATGCCGTTGATCTTCAGCGCTGAGTACACCGGTGGGACCTGCTGGATGGTTCCTAGAAAGTTGGGCAGTTGTTCCTCGACAAGCTGACGAGTCACGTGCGAGGCGTCTGCTCTTGTCCTCATAGTTCCAGTACAGTCGTAGCTGTCGGTACTCATACCGAATAGAATGGTGGTGTCGTAGCTTTTGTCACATGCTAGGTACTGTGAGAGCGATCTTGTGCCACGCCCGATTCCTACGATGAGCACGCCGGAGGCAAGGGGATCGAGCGTGCCGCCATGACCTAGGCGGAATACTTGGTCGGAGGATTTGCTAGTGCGTTTTGGTTGGTGCTTGCGAAGTGGCGCAAAGGTAGCGGATGAAGCGAATGTTGACTGGAGTTTGAGAAGTACGTCTGCTGAAGAGACATTCGCAGGCTTCACCACGGCTATACAGAATCAGCAACCAGGTGTGAATGGGAAACGATTGGGCTACCCACCGAAAACACCTTCTAGCACTTTCTCGTGTTGCTCCACGATGGCTTTGTCGTTCTCGTCTTCCATGGTGTTGCAGGTCACGTTATGTCGCGTCGTGAACTTCCGGTCCTGTTGCGCTAGAGGGAAGAATTGTCTAGATCGCGGGGCTAGCGCGTTCTGAAGTTTGCCCCACCTCACGCCCTACGCCTTGCATGCCTCGCAATATCTAGCAGTCGGCCAGAGACAGCCCGAGCTTCTTTGCGGTGTACTGCATTCGCTTGCTAACCTAGATCTATACGCGATCACTTGGTAAAGGTTGCATCGGTAGCGGCGCCGACTTCGGGCTGACGCCTTCATCCTACATCCATTTCCAGCCATCGTCGTCATTGCCAAAACAACACCCGCGACTTCTGGAGCCATGGATCATCAACAAGTGAACAACTGGAACTTCCAATCATGGAACGAAGATACGATCGACCCTTCATGGTTCGACAACTTCCTCGCTACAGATGTCGGCCAGGGTGCGACTAACGCTGCACCTGATGCTCCTGCCGCATTCAGCATCGACGACGACTTGGCAATCGACCCAAACTTCCAAGACTTTACGTTGGAAGACACATTGCAACCATTGAGTGGTATGACTTCACCAAGTTATCCATTCGACGCGTACCAGCCGACTGAGTTTCACGAGCGCCCACAACCGCAGCGTCATCACACACTCCCCCGCCGTCGAAGCAAGTACTTTAAGCGAAGATCAACGGGCACTGTCAGCCCGATGGTGATACCGAGTGGAAGTCCTCGACACGAAGAGGGTCAGTCACTGGCCATTCAGCGCTGGCGGAACTCGCCGCCTGAAGACGAGGCCGCATCTCTGTCGGCCATCTACCATGCCTTGGAGGACAGACCCATAGGCCATTCACCACGTATCAGTCGGCCTTCCAGCGGCGATGCCTTCCGCAAGTATCGCGGCCCTTCCTCTACCACAAGTCTCGATAGCGCCGCAAGCGAATCCTCATTACGATCCGCGAATTCGAGCCGTTCCGCTACGTCGCAATCGAAGCGTCGCAGTCAAGCCAAGACAAGAAGCAAGGGAAGAGTCAGGGGCAATATGCTGGACCCTGATCGTATATTCAAATGTACTTTCTGCTGCGACACCTTCAAGCACAAGTACGACTGGAAGCGACACGAGATATCGCTGCATCTAAACCTCGAAAGCTGGATGTGCACGCCACACGGAGCTTCTGTGGTGCTACCTCTTACGGGTAGAGTACACTGCGCCTACTGTAGTGCACTGGATCCAACACCCCAGCATCTGCAGAAACACAATCATGCGGCATGCACGGACGGCAATAACAGCCCGCGTATTTTCCACCGCAAAGATCACCTCACACAGCACCTTCGTCTAGTCCACGGACTGGAAACACTACCTCTCATCGACGACTGGAAACTTGAGACTCTGCCAGTAAAATGTCGCTGTGGTATATGCAACACCAATCTAAGTAGCTGGGATGAGAGAGCAGACCACCTCGCCGCACATTTCAAAGAGGGCAAAACCATGGCCGATTGGAAAGGGGATCACGATTTCGAACCAGCTGTCGCTGCCCGTGTCATCAACGCGTTTCCGCCCTACCTACTTGCCGAACAAGCGAAGACCGTTGTACCCTTCTCTGCCACGAACCCCGGATCCATCGACCATACAAAGCAGATGATATCGCAGATCCAACGGGAAGAGTTTCAACGGGAAGAAGAGCCAGTACAGGAGTCGCCGAAAGAAGTCACTCAGACACCTGACCATCAAGCTTTTGAAGATTCTTTAGAGGCTCTTCGAAACCTTTCTACGCAGCACGACTATGACTTCGCAAAGGTTCTGACGCGCCATCTTAGTCGCTTTGCGAGACAGCAGATGTTGTCGGGTATTATACCGACGGATGAGATGTTTCAACGCGAGTCGCGGAGGTTGTTATACCAAGATGCGGATGATGCGGTGAGGAAGCGAAACGATCCATTATATACCAGACAAATGCTAACATCTACGATAGTGGAACCAAACAGTAGCAGACAACCCGAACTGGTTACAAGACTTCCGCCGTCGTAGTGGGCTCGAAGGAAGTCCTAGCACATGATATCAATGCCACCTCAGCGCGATACCCAACAATTCCTCTACCTGTTCTTTAAACTCTTCGTATGACATATCGCGATCTCGAGATATTACGCCCGCCTCCCATCAGATGGTACCACCTTGTAGAGTCACTAGGTCTTTGAGGTAAGACAGATCAATGCTGCTCACCTCCCCGGCTGCCTCGAAGAAGCGCAAGGCGCGATTACCAGTCCAGCTTGGATTCTCGTCGCCTACACCGCTGTGAGCTTTTCTGCGATAGCTAAGACGCCATCCAAGGAATTGATCTTACCAATCCAGTGCCCAGCCTTTGGAATTAACTCAGCGACAACATCATCGCCAACCTGTAACCAAACTTCTTCCAAGAGCGATACAGGCCCAAAGCTCGCCTCACCACCCAGCGCCAACAACGGCATCTGCAACCTATGCCCACTGCTAAACACGGAAGTAAAGTACGCTTCATCCTCCCACGCCGCCGCGAAGTATTCCATACCGCTCCTCAGAAATCCCGGTTTCGAAATCTCATTCGTATACCGCTGCAGATGGTCTTCACTCACCGCCGCCGTACCGGAATAACTCGCGTGAAAGAAATACCAGCTCAACATCTGTTTCTCGCGATCTCGAATGAAGAATTCGGCTGCATCGGGCACGGCAAAGAAGGCGAGCTGCCAGTTCTGGTACAAGCTGGGACTCTGAACGGTCAAAGGGTAGCCGTAGCCGGGGAGAACGTATTCAGCGAGGATAATGGCTTTGACAAGCGAAGGATGTTCAATGGCGAGTGAAGTCGCTAGTCCTACACCCTTATCGTGCGCGAAGACATATGTGGATGAGATGTTGAGGTAGTCTAGAATGGCTTTGAGATCTGCGCCCGCGGCTGCAGCAGTGTAGTTCTTGGAAGTGGGGATGGACGAGTCGCCACATCCGCGGATGTCTGGGGCGATTACCGTGTCTGCTTCCATATTATTATTCGATGCTCTCATCAAGTATGGTGTGCGAAGACATGCAGTTTTGCGCTAGGATGGGTCCGATGGTATGCCACGTCAACGAGTGCTGGGGAAAGCCATGCACGAGCAAGACGGGCGGTCCTTCGCCGTGGTAGCGAAAGTGGATCGAGACATCATCGAGTTGAATGCGTTCGTGTTGCCAGTCGTCAAAATTCGACAATTGCGCGAACGTAAGCTGCGGTATAGCGAATGCAACAGCGCTGATGATGGTAGTGAGCTTCATACTGCAGGGTAGAGAGATCCGCCGTAGGTTACCAGAACACCGTCAACATGCGCAGCTTTATCTATCTTCACATTCCCGCAGTCGTCGATACCTTGAAGGCCATGCATTAGGTCTCATACGCCTTCTTGGCTCGAAGCGCTGTTGCTTTACTGCTCTTTCCTATTGCGCTACTCGGTCGTCTTGGCAGGGCACGAGAAAGCTGACTGAGCTTACACAATGCATCGGACTTAAGCATGTAGCTTAGTAAACAGGATGCGTCGCCAAGTCGGGGCGGGCAAATGTTTGGAAGATGCGCACAGTCGGGGTAATAGTTGGCAGAACTCATGTGTGGTCTACTAGATTTGCTCTAGATGCTCTCTGCCAAGGGCGCCCATGTCTTGTCATACCATGGACGCCGCCACGGAAAGCAACAACCTCATATTGAATGATCTGAAACCCATGAGAGGGTACGGGACTGCTGGTTGGGTCGTGGGGAGGATGCGATTGGGAGTGGTGCAACGAGTCAAGCTCAAACTCGGTCCACAAATACCATCGCATTCTGGAAGGGAATTTCGAAGCTAGAAGTCTACATCATCTCAGAGACTATCTACGTATCAACATTTAGTAGCGCGTATGCAGCAAAGTCTCCTTGAGCTGCGCTCATGATACAAGGCGGAGCCTCCGCTTCTCGACAAAATTGCAGGATGGCAAGCAGACATTCAGCAAGCACACGAGACCCTTGGTTCAATAGAACCTGTGAGCTCTGTCCATTGCATGCCTTCTGGAAGGGCCCGCTGACATCTACATCAGACCTTCTTGACCTCGGCAAAGCAGGAAGCTTTCGTTAACCCACCGCCAGTCCTCGGACTACCACCACCAGAACAGCCGAGGACGTCCCACGATATCTCCACCACAGACACACTACGCTCACGTCCAATCGATTTTCATTACGTTACGAAGGTTATGGTCATTACGCACGAAACCTCACTGCTTCCCCGAAGCTTTACGAAGCACCCGCACCAAGCAGCTGGACCTATAACTTTCACTAAGGACCCTACGATAAAGTGCTCGTCGACGCATGCGCGGCGCCACAACGCAAATTAAGAGGACCTATGGACCCATGACTTGTCTGATCGCCTGATCAATCTTCTCATCAATCTCCTCTTTGTGTTCAGAGAAATAATCCCCGACGAAAGATGCTACTTCTTCTTGCGTATAACAACCCCCTTCTGGGAGACAATACTACGACGGCATCAGTATATCACACAAAAGGTGCTTTTGCAATCTAAAACATACCTCTGCAGCTGGCGTAGCTTTCACCACCGCCTTGACTTGCGGTGCACAGGCAGCGAGTACGTCAGCGATAAACCCCAGGATATACACCGCCGCGACAGTGAAGATGAGGAGCTTGATGGTAAGGAGGACGAGGTCGATCTTCGTCTTTCGCGTTTCTTCGTCGAATTCTGCCTGGATCCTTGCGAGCTCACCGTCGTTTTTCTGAGCTTCCAGGTCCAACTTGAACTGCTGTTCTGGTGTTCGCGTGCTGGTGGCTGGAACACGCCATGATAGCTCTGGGGTCGCGGTTGCGGTATAGGCCGGGAGGATGTCCTTTTCGTTGAACATGGTTGCGTCTACTGTGGATGTATTTGCTTGGTAGAGTGGGTGATAGACGAAAGATTTGAGTGGGAGTTTGAAAGTGGTATGAAGGAAACAATTTTGGGACGCGAGTGCAGGCTTTTTTGTAGAGCAGGCGCGCGGGCTGCGCCTCGTCGAGAACCGTGGTTGGCATTCGCGCTACGACACGGTCAGTACCCTTATGACTTCTACCAACGTTTATTCGCTCAATTAGATGATGGCAGCCTAGCAGGAAATCTGGTTCTATTTCATGGTGCCCAGGAAGCCGAAGGTCTACAGTCGTGCCTCATCGAATGACTGGCATCGACACCCACTCTAGAACTCGTGATCTTGCCCCAACATGCCCACCTGAAACTAAGCTGCGTGCTTTGTATAGATCGAAACTTCTTAGTCTGGGTCGCTATGTTCCAGGTCCGCAGCAATGTAAGGAATTTCGGCGCCCTCCTCGACCTGTGAAACGTCTACGATACCCTCCTTCATGGACTCCGCAGACCTGCGATGGCGCTTCAGTTGCACTTGGGCACGCGCGTCCAAGCCAACATACTCTTGAAGTGGGTTTGACTCAACAGTATTGGCCATGTGGTAGCTATAGTACTGTTACTTTGAGACTTCGAGGAAGAGACGTGGTTACCATACATGAAGCCGTGACCCTCCATTGGGTGGAAGTCTTTGACGATGGTGCATCCCGCAGTTGCCGCGACTAGGGCCCTGACCTCCGCTGCTTTCGCGCTGTTCGCAGGGCCATCTCTTCCTCGGACGATGACCTATCATGGTTAGCACTCGGTACGGCGATTGAGTGTAACTTGTATTCTTACTGTCCAGAGATAGTGATCTTTTGGTACCGCGGGCATGATGTTGTAGTTGATATTCGGATACCTGGCGGCGGGAGGGGCTGGGTAGAGGTAGTTATTTGTGATGGCGATTAGATTTGCTGTTAGGTAGTAGAGTTGAGAAGTCAAGATTACTTGGATAAATTGATATCTCACATCTAGCCGTTTGCGAAGATGCGGAGCCCGGTCTAGGCAGCCAGTATCTTACGCGCCTTTACCTCGCGCTTTGCGGTGTGACCATGATCGAATCTTCGTTCGCATAGAGCGACACTTAGACGAGGGTAATGCGATTCATGACATGTGCCATTCAACAGGCGTGACTCTATTTCTGCTCTATGACTCGGATTGTGTACCTCAAATTGAACCATTTCAAAAAGACATCGTGATGACCGCAAAAGAGCTTTGCAGTCGTGCATTGAGCTTGTCGCTCATTGTAGCTGCCAGGGTGGCCGTCCAAGGTGCTCGCGTCATGAGCACTGAAGGCAGCGCCGACCTTAGCCATACCGAGCTATACTACGCACTCCAGGTGCCAAGGCAAGTGACAAGTCATGGAGGTTGCGAAGTCGGCGATGCGAATGGTGATGAAAAGGAAAAGGGTGTGTCGCTTGCAGTTGCCGTGCAATGAGCCGTTCAGCTACCCCGGATTCGTTACGCCAACTATGACGCTTCGGTCGATCTTCACCCCGCATGTCGATTTGTCCTCCAACACGAACCCACTAAACCACGCGCAGCCCGCGTCACATGCACACCCGTTGCATCAGCATATTACTACGACTAAATGATAGCCCAATTGACGAATCATATGTGCTGTCAGGTCGCCGTAAGGTGTTGATCTCTACAGCGGGCCGACATTCCTGCACGGTTGTCGGCAACCGTCCCTCGGTTAGGTGGTATGGGTGTGCTTTGGTGTGTCTTCGTCGCATGGCGGACGTTGGACGACGTACATGGCGCGAGCTACCCCGGCAGATGCTTGGGAGTACGGGCAAGCTTCATATAAGTGGAAGCTTGGGGCCCCGCAGCGTTGCTTGTCGTCTCTTGTCGCTGCGCCCTCACCTTGACCACATTTCAGCTTGACGCCATCGCATTGCCTACGTCGAATCGATAATCGCATAGTTCGCTCGACGCGCACGACAATGGCCGACGACCGAAAACCTTCGATCGAGCATATCTCGGATGACAAAATCGCGCCTACTACTCTGGAAGCAGGAAATGGGGTCGTCGATGGGCATCGGAAGCTGGTCCCACCGCCGTTGGTGGCTGCTATGAGTGCCGAGGAAAGAATTGAAGCAGAGAAGAGGATGCGACGGAAGATCGATACGAGATTGTTGCCGATGATCATCCTGATGTATATCATGAGTATGTCTTGGTAGATGGCCGCGGGTGGGCAGCGCTAATAATGCCCAGATTACCTCGATAGGAACAACATCGCTGCCGTTCGCCTAGCAGGTCTTCAAGACGAGCTGGAGCTCACGAGTGTACAGTATCAAGTATGTGATGCTGAAATCACCAGCAAGTTCGTCACTAACTCGAATAGACCACCGTTTCCATCCTGTTCGTCGGCTACATCCTCATGCAGATCCCGTCAAATTTGTTAGTAATATCCATGTACGAACTGTATGTGAGACAAATACTGACTTCGTACACTCATCTTTAGGTTCCTCAATAAGACCGGCAAGCCCGCCATCTATCTTCCCACGTGCATGATCATCTGGGGCATCATATCGGGTGCGACTGCTGCATGCCAGAACTTCGCAGGACTGGTGGTGTGTCGTTTCTTCCTGGGATTTATCGAAGCCGCATACTTCCCAGGATGTCTGTTCTACCTCAGCGCTTGGTACACGAGGAAGGAGCTGGGTCTGAGAACGGCGGTTCTTTACTCTGGAAGTTTGATCTCGGGCGCCTTCGGTGGGCTCATTACCGCCGGGATCACGAGTAATATGGATGGCACGCAGGGCTTGAGAGCGTGGCGCTGGGTGTTCATAATCGAGGTAAGTATCGTACGCGCCGAGCTGGATATCTGGGATGTTAGCTGATCCTTCAGGGTATCATTACCGTCGCGATTGCCTTTGGCGCTTTCTGGATCCTACCCAACTTCCCTCGAACAACTTCCTGGCTCACAGAGGAAGAACGCCAACTCGCCGTCTACAGGCTCCAGGAAGACGTTGGCGAAGACGACTGGGTCTCAGCAGAGTCGCAAACCTTCTTCCACGGCCTAAAGCTTGCGTTACTCGATATCAAGACTTGGGTGCTTACAATCATGCTTCTAGCAAACGTATCATCGGCCAGTGTTACCAACTTCTTCCCAACAGTGGTCAAGACGCTAGGATACCCAAACATCGAGACACTTCTGTTAACAGCGCCACCTTATGTTCTCGCAGTCATCACCACCTACCTCAACGCCTGGCATGCCGACCGCACCGGCGAACGATTCTTCCACATCGTCCTCCCTCTCTGCGTCGGCGTAGCAGCCTTCATCCTTGCCGCCGCTACCACTGCAACAGCACCTCGCTACGTCGCCATGATGCTGATGGTACCTGGTGTATACACTGGATATGTCGTAGCTCTGGCCTGGATCTCCAACTCTTTACCTCGTCCGCCAGCGAAGAGGGCGGCTGCACTGGCTTTCATCAACGCGATCAGTAATACGAGCTCGATCTATGCAAGCTACATGTATCCTCAGCCAAAGAGTGGTCCGGCGGATTTGACGGTTCCCCTGAGTGTGGATTGCGCAACTGCAGCACTGGCCATTATCATGGCGGTCATTATGCGCATTATACTGGGGCGGCTGAACAAGAAACTTGCTCGTGGAGAACACGTTGAAGGAGCAATCAACGCTGTCCCTGGGGTTGGTGCCGAGAGAGGTTTCAGATTCTTGATCTAGAGACTTGGAAACTGGAGATTGTAGGGTAGTGAGTTGGATATAGAGACGATTAGCAGGATTGTGCATCGATTGGTCCCCCTGTTTTACTTCTTTGCCACCCCCTTCTCCCGTCACCTCACTGGATGACGACGCGTACAGGTGCTGAGACAACAGTTCCCCTCTTCAAATTGCTTTTCCTCAGTGTCTCAATCAGAATTACTCGTGATACATGTGTGAAGGCTGGTGAGTGGCTGGATGTTGACTTGGCGAGATACTGGAAGGTTCCATAGCGTCATCGGCCCGAACGAGGCTTAGCGTCCATCACGAGCTTTGGCCACCCAGGCAGCGCGTCGCGCGACGACTCACCACGTTTTATCGCAGCCCATCCCAGCAGCACATCATCCGTCGAGGATTCAGCAGCACATTCGTACGACACATCACTATCGGCCCGCTTCACCAGAGTTGCCAATACACCTTTTCACTGCCAGGGACCATAGAGTGAACGCCTTGCGATAGCTAGCGTCACACTCTGTTAGCACTCTGTGCACACACGATGCACCTCCACGCGACCACAGGAACAGCGCCGATTATTCAACGCAGACCTTGATCACTTTCGCGTCGGGGATCGCACAACATCAATCACTTCGATACTGTGTAACTTTCGAAGGTCCAATCAATACCATCACTCAAGGCAACCACGCGTTGTCAGCTGACGCCACCCGCATATCTTCTGCAAACTTCAAAAGTTCAACTTGGAGATCAACCTCATTATGGATTTTTCAAACAGTGCCTTTAGGGCCATGCCAAACTCTAAAGTCTCCGACGACACGATGTCTCACGCAAATCTTGTAATGGCATGTCGATGGGGCTGGACGAGCACCCCGGACGAAGGAGCAAACAACCCCTTCGCCTCTTCATCTACCTCGCAACAAATACCCGCTTCTACATTCAATAACATCCGGACCAAGCGGTTTGCGCCGTGCCAAGGCCGTCTCTATCACCAGCTACTCTGCTCTCACCGTATCCGGACGGATCTGGTCGAGGACTGTGGCGAAAACTGCATCGATCCTTATGGCGACACGGTTGACGCTGCCTTCATTTGCAATGAGTGCATCCAAGCAGAAGCAGCGAAGATTTGGGAGCAACGGCAAGCGGCGCACAACACGACCTACCCTCCTATGGGACAGATGAGTAAGGAGCAGTACGAGCAGTGGTATGCCGAGCACCGACAGCTCGAAGCAGAGTTCTCGCGCGACCAGCGAGTATACGAGTTGGAAATTAAAGCAAAAACACGACCGAGCAACATTTGCTCTGCCCTGGAAGCTAGCAAAGAGGAGATGGACTTTGCGACCGAGCTTGACACATTATCTCTTTCTTTGATGGCGTCAAATAACTCAAACGCCGAGCAAGCACAATACCAGCCTCAGGGACGTACCCGAACGAGCTTGGCGACAGATCCTGATGAGCAGCTCCATTGGAACTTGAACACGCTTGCTTTGGATCGCGGCGCATGTGGTATTGAGTACTCGCAGCCGAGTAGTGGAGTGTCTCCAACACGGCAACTGGACCCGGAGGAGTTGTGGAGGAAGCCACGGAATTGAGAGCTTGTAAAGCAGTGTTGTTGGCGTGTAACTTGTCGTGTTGATTAGCGATTGCATAAGTTTGGCGTCTGGAAAACTCCGCGCATGTGGAAGTGTTTGTGTAGGACTTTTGTGTAAGCAATACATGTCTTGTCTAGCAACTCTGCTATCTAAAAGGGCCAAAAGTCTACTTGTACCGCGTTTTCCAGTGGTTTGCATGAAGCTGCGCAGCGACGCGAAGATTGTGGATCGATGTGGGGTATAGTGATGTGTCAGAGCATTAGCACGACGCGCACTGCCCCTCATGTGAAGAAAGCACACATTCTATAGGAGGACTGCTTGGCTGTCCATTGAGAGGGCGTTCTAGATCACAAAGATCGGCTTCCAGACTGCTGCTTCATGTGCAGCGTTCAAGTACATGGTTTTTGCGTGTCCGAAATTCTTCATCGAAATACATTCGGAGCCTTGGCGCAATGGTAGCGCGTTGGTTTTCGGTCAGAAAGCATAAACACCAACCCAAGATAGGGGTACAAAGTGAGTGAATGTCACAAAAGTGAATGCGATCGCTCTGTAAGCAGACTCGACTCATTCACCTATGCGCCACATCAACGCTTGCTCCTCTTCGCTTCGCCGATCACATCCTGCCCACGATCGTGCTTTCTCACAGCGCTGTCCTGGCTCTTATCCCAAACATCTTTTTCCTCTATGATAGTCTTACGGAGCACTACCAGCGCTTGAAGTAAGCTAGTGTGATAATCATTTTGTAATTGAACTTGCTGGAAGTCTGTGGCTGCATCCTCGCTTGGTAAGATGTCGTCTACCTGCATCTTGCCCAGGTCATCTTCTGCAGCAATGATGAGTTTGTTCAATTCCCTGACTATTGGGCTTATAAACTTGTCTTGTACTGATTGCCGAGTGATGATAAACCAGATCCGGTCAAAGATGGCGACGTCGCTTACACCACCCTGCTTGTACTCGTGGATGTCGGACCGGTACAGGACTTGCGATACCGTATTCACAGCTTTGGCCATGTCTGGTGTCATTGGTGAAAGGTAACGGATGCACAATGGCCAGTATGATCTTAGATTGAAGAGGTCGACATGCAGCGGAAGAGGCTCAGGGGCTTGCAGAGAAGTCTTTCGTTCCCGCAATCTCTCGTGTTGTGTATAGTCGTCGGCCAGCCATAGTAGATCCCTTGCTTCGGCTAGCCAAGGCTCATTGCTTTCGTCTCCTGGAACAAGCCCTGGGATGATGTCCTGGAACTAAAGGGAATTAGAATATTCCGTCGTTATAAAAAGAAGATAGACTCGCCCATGACAGACTCTGCTTTGAGTGACTCCTTATGGTCTCGATGATTTCGCCACCATCGGACGCAGTCTTGACGGCTTGAAACAACTGCAGTTGATCTTGACTAGTCATACTTTCCGAGATACGCCGTTGCGTTCAACAAAAGGATGTGTAATTGGAAGGAAATAGGAATTCAGCCAGAGAGACTAGGCCAACAATCTCATGCAAAAGCAATCCGTTTGTGAACGCGGCCCGACGATGCTTCCATCTATCTAGAGACAAAAGAAGGAAGCCCGCCCTCATTACGCAGTGATCCACTGTTTGTGGGCGCAGCTTGATGGCACTAAGGTGTATTCAGCGTTACATAGCAAATGCGTATGCTGGATGTCAAAAGATGAAGCTGTTCGTTAATGCATCCAAGGTCAACAATCGTGCAAGCTTTGTCGTCATGCTTGACAGTTTCGACACTTGAGAATACGTGATTACATATCGAGTTTGACACGTGGTTGTTGATTATACTCATAAGCTTGGCTTGTTTGCTGACCTCAGGAGGATGTAAAACCTGGGCGATGAACAAGATAGCGATACGGAGGACATTTAAGGTCGTAAGGCAGTGTTGTTCAATACCCCGACTACTGCGGTATCTCCTAGAGTAACGCAATATGCCAGCAACACTTCAAAATACAATCGCATCCATCCGTAATGTGGTCGGCTGGTTCGGAGAACCTGAGACTTTCCGTACACTGAGCTCGGTTTGCGCGAATGGGCAGGCTAAGTTCAAGACAAAGATCGCGACGATACGAGGTGAGTCTTGGTCGTGATTTGGTATCATAGCAACTGATGGTTGACTTGTAGGACCCGAGGGCGGCACCATTGATGGAGGGTTTATCGTCGACCCCCCCTCCGACTTCCCAGCTGTTGAAATCAGAGGTACCGAGCATTGGTCACTTGAGCAGAGGACTAATTCCACCCCGTTAAGACTGTACCGATTCGATGTCAAGACCAGCATCACGAGGCCAACCCAGTGGGCTCATTTCTATATTGTCATGATGCCCGCAATTCCACATTTCCTGTGTATCGTCCCCCTGCGAAGCTACCAAGGTCTTTCCTGGGTACAAACTCGTCTCAACAGAACCAAAGAATCCAGCCAAGCTTCCGGAACTTGGAGAGCCAATGTTAGCTATGCTCTCCTTGCCCCATTCGCTGTCCACGAAGACGACGTGTATGAAGCCATCCTGAGGATCAACACTGCGGCTGAAACCAAATCATGGTACACGAACCCCACCAATCATATCGTGTTCTCTGGTTGGCACGTACCGGCTCCGGATACGACAGTAGACGGTATCTTCCAGTTTTCCCGCAATAACTCCGACACTCGGACGTCGAGAGAAACGATCCAGCGTTTAGCCAATTTCTTAGAGCGATGTCCTGAGACTCAGATGAGCGTCATTCCAAATCCGACGGAACCGTTGGTAGCTGACTTCATCCTCCAAGACCACAAGGAAGGAGTCGAATATCTGATCGAGCACAAAACTTACGGCCCCACATCGGGGAAATCGCTTAGCTGGTGTGCCGCAGAAGAACTAGAACCGATCTACAATTGGCACTTTCGTATCAATCAGCTTGAGGATGATTTGATGATTCATACGAGACTCAAAGCCGATGAAGACCAGGCCACGCATTCGACACCGCCTGCGAGGATCAAATTGACCTCAACGGATGCACCCGAAAAGTTCGCCAAAACCATTAGAGAGTATGGAAAGATTGCTAAGATCAGGATCCGTGACAAGTGGAAAAACACCACCCTCTATGACGACAATGTTCCAGACAAGAGCGTCCCCAACGATGTCATAGAGAATGATATCTCAGAAGACACAGCAAATACAGACCTCCGAGAGTTTGCAGACGCATTCAGTACCAAACTCAACAACCAGTGCTGGAAGCTTGGCCAACACGTCTGCATCCCGCTGTCAGATCATCCAACCGCCGATGCAGTGTTCATAGAACACAAGTGGAGGGGCGAAGACCGAAGAAACTTCGAATGTAGTGGTATCCTTCCTGTTTCGCTCTTTCAGAAGTCACCTAGTGGGCCCAGATGCATCCTACTCAAACTCCTGCCACACAACGTAAGCGCCCAGTCTCGCGACGTACCCACCTCAACCCTTCTTGAACTCGCAAATTCCTCAAGGGTTATCATACCAGCTTGTGGAGCACAGGATTTCCTATATGTAGCCTCCACTGGCGGCATACCTGAGAGAAGCGAAGCGCTTTGTATCGACCGGGTCGTTCTGCTACGGTCAGACCACACTGCCATGATAGACGAGTCGCATTCATGCGGTACTTGCGATACTGGAGATAATGAAAGAGGCTGGTCATACAAGACGCAATGGCTGGTTGGAAACGAGCTTGGTCGCGACACAGGACCTCTCATCGCAAAGCCATTCCTCAACTCCACCGCGTGTCCTGATCTAAGTATATTTAGCCTACCCGGAGGAGAAGTTCACGAGTTTTTATGCACGTTGTTCGAGAAGGGAGAATTCGTTGTAGATCTCAATGGCCCAACTGGCTTGTTGCAGACGCAGTGGAACCATGGAACCTCATTGAAGGTCGAGAGAAGAGGTCGAAATGACTGGTAAGTCAATAACTTCTTTCAACATCAAGGATGTGCAGGAAAAACTGCTAATGCTTCTCAGGTTGATGATGCGAGTCCTTTCGACCTTGCCGCCCAACGCCTCGTCCTGGTCAGCAGCTGCCTTCGAAAAAGCCCTTACCGATGCAGAAACTCCATATGCGCACAGACCGCTTCGCAAACGTCGCCCGCTTGCACGACGGGATCTTATCGAGGACCCGACCTACGGCATGACTATAGAGGAACTTGTCGCTCTCTCCGGTGTCGTGGCCGAGCCAGGACTGCACTGTGATTCTTGCCCCGATGCAGAGAGCTGCAAGGTGCTTCGCCCGGAGATCCAATACGCCCATGGAAAACCAATCTACAGAAATGGGTTCCCAAATTGTGGGAATTGTGACGGTAAGCACATCAATAGATGCACGTTCAACCGCATGCCCCGTGGTCTCCAACAGCAGCTCCATGACCTCTTCCAGGCCCACGTCCCATGCTCAACATGTTACAAGGAAGCCAAACTGTGCGACAATAATCGCGGGTCTTGTGAGGAATGTAAAAATGGTGGGTTGACTTGCGAACGGGAAGCCTGTTCGTTCTACGATGAACCAAGAGACGATGGATTCTGTCATATGTTGGGTCAAGAGTGTGGTTGGGCTCATCACGACGACGGATATCTGAATGTCGTTCATGGCAAGAGGCCCAGTGAGGGTGTCAATATGCACGCGGAAACTCGTGCTAAAGCTCGAACAAGTTAGGGTCCGCGGAGAAGACAAACTCATGACCACTTTTCTCGAGGTATCTTTCTAGGCTTGAGTTCATATCTTTCAACATATCAGCGGCGGTGTTAGTGAGATAGATGGTGGATACTAGGTCGTCACAGCCTACCGCCTGGTGAGGCGAGATGGAGCTTCTCCGGATGTAATGGTAGGCGGACCAGCTAGCAAGTTCGACTGTCATCACGTCCATTCTAGAAAGCCCCAGAAATGACACCTTTGTGTACATAAAAGCAGCCCAAAGCCCCTTGCAGGAAGTTCATAGCTGATCATGATTTCTTCATCTGCAATCGTTATCTTCGGTATCGCGGTCCTTATTGCCTGGACTATTATCAACAAATTGCATGAACTGATTCAACTGCTCTGGGGTTGCGCTCGTCTCACCATCGCTCTTGGTGAAGTATTAGTCTTTTGCAGCATCAAGCTGATGCAAAGTCGGCTTATTATGCACCCTACAAGATTTCTCGCCCTCGCCTTGGATACAATCATGTGCCTGCCAACCAAGATTACCGAACGCGTCTGCACAACGTATACCGCACATTCGGAAGAAACGCCAATCCAAAACTCCAGAGCTGAGGACCTGGTCCGGTCGCGGTGTATTGGGCAGACCCTAGCTGGCGAACAATGCCGAAAGACAAAGATGATGCCTGTGGGTACCCTTTACGATTGCCACAAGCACAGGGAGCCGTCGCAGTACTGAGCAGTAGCTTCAGACCTCCGAAGATTGTAATCCCTCTTATCGCAGAGTATCTCTGTGTACGGGATGGGTATGGGTTGCGGAGCTCGTGAGTGGCCCATCGGTCTGCGCCCTTGCAGTACTACTAGGCGATAGCTTGGGACGGACATGATCGATCACAATTTCGTGAAACGAGGACGGAGGACGAGAGTACGGCGGGTTCGGTGGGAGAGAATGGGCGAACTCGTCGGCCAGGCGTTTACGGTTCTGGCGTGAACGTAGCTGGGAAGGAACGATTGCGACGGTAGGCGAGCTAGTGAAGATGTCAGACTGCGTGCGCCGTAGCTCTCAATGTTAATTACCTGTGCCAAGTTACCAGACCTTCTGCCACCAAAGTGCCCATGTAACGATGGACGCATAGTACGCGCAACGTTGAAGCCATCCTCGCTCGGCAAGGAATCGCTCTAAGGCCTCTGCACCGAGGCAGCGAACTGCAATCAGGCTGAGAACGTGAAATGTGCCCAAAACGACAAAGAATAGTATGAAGAATGCAAGTGCTATTTGCAGTAGTTGCTGCAGGGAGATTAGCAATAATACAGCGGCTCTTATTGTACAAAGCCTACCCTTTTCCAGTATCTCACCGGCCGCGCATCGGCACACCATGGTTTGAACAGAGGGGCAACAGCGACGCACCACAAAAGAAGAAACGAGGCAACAGCAAGCATCTTGCTGTGCCGTCAGCTTTGCGCGTTGTAGTTGATGTGAGCTCCGTATTCACTAAAGGTGGTGAATGGCAAAGAAACCCGCACGCGCGATGGGGTTCCTTTGGGCAACTGCAAGCATCTAGCGCTAGCGCGAATCTGGTATGGTACTAGTGCTTCCAAAACAGCCGCAGGTGGAGCTTCCATTCCCTCCACAATTTTCCTTTGTACGTAAGTCATTTGCATCTTGAGCAAACCTACTCCATGGTTGTAATAGGTCAGAAAAGATTGTACCACTTTTGAACTGAGCCGCCACATTATTTCGCCAATGTTTCCAGCGGTCATTGCAGGTATCCTTACAGCCATCTTGATCAAGGACAACGACTTCATACGATATCTCATCCAGTACGCTTGCCAGAAATCTCTCATCAGACACACATCCCATTGGCATTACAAAAAATTAGTCAAAATGACCCAGAGAAGTGTTCAATGTACGCACGATCTCCAACGTTGGCTTCAAGAACATGTGAGGGGGCCATGTGCTCGGTGCAGTCGCCGAATCATCATGTGGCTATCTCGCCAAGCATTGTGGGTGCTGGATACGCCTCGCATGATCACAACTGCTATACTTGGGCCGAAGGACTGGTACGAAAGTGGAGAGTCTAGCGAGATGTAGGATACGTGTGGAGCTTTGACGACGGGCACCTCAATCAATCTTGGTGAATGTGGCTTGTGTAGAAGTCGCCGTGGAGAAGAGGATGTAAGTCTCACATATGGCCATGAACGATTGAGGGCTTCTGATGTTTCAAAAAGGATACCGTAGATGCCACAACCCTGACAATAAATGATGCACAGATGTATCACATCGGAGATTACAAAGCTGTATTAAGATAGATTCGTTTTGTGGGAGTATCAACCCATGTCTTCCTTCGGATGCAAAGAACTTGATGGACAAAAGAAATGTACAATTTAACATCTTTGAGCGGAGCAGCCGCATGTACTCATGGACCTTCCCCGCACCGATTCGTACGGATGACGAACCCCCCCTCCCTCCATCTTATTCACAACTCATCCTTTGCAGCAATACACTGAGACGTTCCATATCGCATCCGGCGCTTGAGCTCTGCTATCAGCATACTGAAGACTTCCATGGTCATGTCCATGACATTGCATCGCTCGGACCGTGGGGGATACTCGCTTGATGACCAACACAGCATCTGGGTACCGAATTTGTGCAGCTTCTCTTTCATTGCAACGACATCCCTGTACATCTTCGACCATTCCTTACTTCTCATCGCGCGAGTGCGAGTCTCGTCACAGTGCCACATAAGCACGATGCTAACCTGCAGTCCGATGCCGAGAACGTGGTGCTCATGATCAGTATCAAGCTTTCCCGCTTGCATTGCCGAAAGGTTGATCAGGTCAAGACCAAGGATGAATTTGGCGCGCGCATTGTCCAGCAAGGTGTTGACTACTTTCACAGACAGTTCCGGGTCCGCCGCGGCTTCTTCGATGCTCATGTGGCGCTTATTCTGGAATCGCGTCACAGCGCCGAACCAGTAGTCGCATGTAGGGCCAGAGCAATATCCGTTGACTTCGAAATCGCAGGCAAGTTCGACGAAAGGTGCCGACAGTTCTGTCTTGAGGCAACGGTCGGGTTGGCTGGGTGCGAGCGCGGCGCGAAGATGGGGAATTGCTGGCATGCATAGCAAATCGGCTGGAAGGTGGCCGCCGGGCAAGGTCTGGTGTTTGTTTGTTCCAGTGATGGCCGCGTTACTGGCGTTGCAGAGGCAGGTGTACAACTTTACATAGAAGTGTCAGAAGGTAAAGCTCATGTTGGAGTCACTAACTTACTACTAAGCAACAAAGTAACCTGACAGCTAAAGCAGTACAAGTAGGGACCCAGTGTCGTGATGTTGGTAGCATATTGAATAGGCTAAGATATACGACTTGAGCGAGGTAGAGAAGAATCTGAAGCAGAGGCTAATTCAGCGGAAAAGAGCAAGATGCAACGAATATGCTGTGACACGATGGAGAATTTGGCGAGTATGGCTCTCTTTTACTTGTCCACATGCTTTGCAGGCATCCTTCCATGAGACATGTGTCATATGATGTGTCCACTAAACAGCGTCGTGGATATGCTGTAGGTACGAGAACGCGCTATGTTGAGACTATCTCAGCCACTGTCAACTCAGTTCACGATGTAGCCCTCTTCGCCACGACGTCAAGTCTGTGCACAAGTCCCTCGCGATGGTCACGACTGACACACAAGTCACCCTCTGCTCCTCCATGTGTCTTCTCAAGGAGGCCATGCGACAATTCGCTCAAGGTGCTTGCAACGCTTTGCCAGATAGCCTGCTCTTCTTTGAACCCTTTGCTGGCGAACAACGCATTGCTCTGGATCTCTTCAAGCTTCTTAAGAGTTGCTGCTTGTGCATCGTAACTGCTCAACGTCGTGTCAAAAGATGCATCAGTAACGCCACCCAAGAGCTCAGAAACCTGCTGCCGAAGCCCTACGTGCTTTTGTTTTCGACTAGCGTAGAGGTTCATTCGATCCTTGTCAACGCGTTTCAAGGCTTGCTGCACTTCTGATGTAACGCTTTCACAGTAAAGAAGCGCCCTCGCGTGATAGTCGGTAACGTCGGATGCACGCTTCGCTGCAGCTTCTAACCTCACGCTAAGGCGGCTCGCTTCTTGACAAGACATGCCTCCAAAGGTGTTCCGCGGGTAGAAAGTTTTACCCAGCTGATTTACAGCTGCATCGACGGCATGTCTAGCGTCCCGACCTAAGATAATAGCATTGTTGAGAGCGTGATACATGGCACTAGTATCTTGAGATACTGGGCAACAGTCGGCTATGGTGCTGGAAGCCATTTCCAAGGTATCGAGAAACGAGTCGAGCCTACGGTGCGTCGCCGCAAACCCATGACTCTGATGATTGTGCCAGGTTATGCAGAGCCAGGTTACTAGGCATGCAATAGTGGCAAACAAGGCAAGTAGGCGAAATGATCTCGGGGAAACGGTTTGGTGGCCCGCGGAGGAACGCGCAGAAAGGGAGCATGGATCCGGTGCCTCGCTCAGGATTTGGCGCTCGATACTTGTCTGCGGCGACGGTGGAGTGTCTTTGACGTGGCGTCGATGATTGTTTGTTGCCCGAATTGGCGGATCCTCAGCATTGAAAGATGTGCGCATGGGTGGAATGGCGATGTGATTGTCATAGGTAGAGGATGAGGATTTGGTGAAAGCGCGCTTGGATACGGAGTGGCGGGGTGGGGGCAAAGTGGGTTTCGGTCGCACTGTCGGGACCGTTGCAACCTTTCTCCGTAGAATCCATTGGTCCGCCAAATTGCTGTCGTCCGGAGGGCAACTCATCGTTGCAGGCTCTGCCTAAACTCCTTCTCTGATCAGCTTCTTATGCAATAAACATCTTAGTTTCCCTACCAGAATTTCGCGCCACTGTTCTGCGATCAGGCTGTCTCAAGCCTCTGCCACTTGCCAAGACCACCTGGGCACCCACGGCACCTGGCTCGGCCCACTATGCCCCTCAAGTTGACACCCGCGACCGGTGAATGGAAGCAATCAGCTTCAGCAGAACAGTCACCGGTAGCCACCACGCAGTTCCAGGATGCCCTGCATATGTCCAGAGAGCTATCACGATGCATGCAGAGTTTCATTGCCGCCGCCGCCGGGACACACTTCACCGATCTCAATACGCCCAGTGCGGCCTTCGTTCAGCACTGGAAGACTGCATTCGAAAAATGTCTCAACGAGTTTGGGGCGCAATATGAGCACAGTGAGCACGGAACGAATGCAGAACAATCCGATGGCGACAATGCTGTGAGCCTGCAGGGCGGGGTGTCGCCTCCAAGCGACGGTTAGACGCAACGTTCAGGCGATTGTCATGCAGCTGTGATATGGCGCTGGGCAAGGACGACAGCATCTTGTCCGGAAAGCTTGAACCAGCTTGCATATAATGCCCTCTTCGAACTTTGCCTCGCCTACCACTCCAGGACCGTACTTCGCCAGATAATTACTCTCTTCCATATCCTCTTCTCAACAGCCGAATCCTATTCATTCTATTTCCAAGGTCACCGTACTTCATTCCCGCTCGTAATGGACCCCTACTCATCGATGTTTGAACGTTCGGCTTCTTCCCGCTCGGGCACTCCCAACCTCCCTACGAACGGCACAAATGCGAGACGGACTTTACGTTCTGCTATACGAGGATTGATTGTGCTCTGTGCATACATCCTTCTTTCTACCTGGTGCCGAGACGAAATATACGACGCTGTGGTCACCGCGATGGCAGCCGGACATCGGGCTCATTGGGCGAGCTACGTTGTAGTCGTCCCTCTTTGGGGCGATCACGTAGCAAGCTTCGTACAAATTTGCGCAACCTGGCTTCTCATGCGATACAAAGTGGCAATCAGCGGACTGTCAATTGTTTATTGTCAGGGCCTGTCTCTGTTGGCGGGCGCAGAGGTAAGTCACCCATACTACTTACGATTGAGCGTGTGTCTTACTACCCTCTAGTCGCTTGCTATCGCAACTACATCTACCAATTTCAACAAGCCCGCTGCAAACTTGGCTGCTGACCTCGTTACGGTGGCTGCGATGACGCTACGAGACTGCATCGAAGCTCTAGCAGGATGTTACCGCTTCGTTCGCGCGCTCATCACACTTTTGCTCTACGCAGTCTCAACGATTTCCCTCCCGGATGCCCAGACATATACCTCTCTCAAGACCTTCGTTGCCGGAACCCTTATCGTCGCTGCCATCTATCGGCTGCTCAGCGTTATCTATCGGGCTCTCGCTGCTGCATGGTACGCCATCACCACAACGACCGATACACCTCCTCGTTAGGGATAATCTCGATTTTAGGCGAGGACTTCGCAGAGTGATACGGTGGTGGGGAAGGGAACGAGAATAGCGACTTGAGAGGTAAAGGGTGTCTCAAATTTACAGGGAGTATCGGAGTTGGTCTCTTCTTGCTTTCCATTGCTTCTTTCTATTTCCTCCGATATGATCATGTATTTCCTCTATCTCACCAACGGTATACGGCTTGCAAGCGTGTGCGTGGGATTAAGAACTACAGCGTATTTAGATATAGACTATGTATTGGGTAATTACAGCTCTTCACCGTTTGTACTCCCATCCCTGTGGCGTTAGCCAGCTTGCCAGTCGACTGCGACCGACACAGAATACGTGGCATGACGGCCAGGGTTCAGGGCGACGAGCGATGTCGGACAGCATGCGAAAAATGAAGGTGGGTTCGCAAATGAGCAGCTCTGAGCTCTCAGGTGCAGAGTCAGTCGAGTACATCGGTACCCATGGGCTTGCTTCATTTGCGGGGTGCGCGAGAGCTGGCCTTGCCGGATTCAAAGCTTCGTTTAGCATACCAGCTTGATGTGCGTAGGATAGGATTGTAAATGCGTGATTGTGCGTGTGCCCAAGTGCGGGATGTATCGTATGGACGTGTTCTGGGTGGGTGATTGAGTGTCGTAAGGCTACCTAGGTAACAGCGGCCTCAGCGGCCTCAGCGGGTATCATGGCTCAGGCCAAGTCTAATCTTCCAACCAACGCATTCGCTCCTTTACACGGGAGACACTGGCAACTATGATAACCAAGGTGCTGGTTGAGTTCCGATGATTGCGAAATTACCCCGCATTTCTTTGACATATGAGAGCCGGAAGAAGTTGGCTGAAGGTCTTATATTACCGAGGCTCCAGATAACCCGTTATCTTCGAGCCTCGATAGGATGAAAGACGGATGCTGGGCTCGCATCAGGAAAAGCACTTCACAATACATCTAGCGATAGCCTTTGTCTCACGTTTGCAACGCGGGATGATAGAATGTGCCCAGGTGACGTCTTTCTGTTGATATGTACTCAAGCCAACAGCTGGGCTGAAATGACACATTGCTGCCCTGAAGATACGACACTGGTGTTCGTGATGTGCTCGCGCACAGCTGGTAAGCTTGGAACCTGTACTAAATGACAGACCTTTTACATGGAGCGCACGTGAGCTCGGAGGTAGTGCACACGGGGAAGATGTACAGCACAATTTGCTGAAAACAGCGAGAAAGCTGCGCATCGTGGTTCTTTTGCATGTTGGGCCCTTCCCAACTGATATCCGAACTGACTCCGAGCAGGGTTCCTTGGCTTCAGACCAATTCAAAGTTGACACTACGTTGAGGAATTTGGAAAGCATACCGCGCACGATTACAACGCCACATGATTATCCTCGCGCAATACGCCGCGACGATGAGCAAGAAATGTACATATCAGCGGAAGTACGCGAGTGCAGCAGGGTGGGATGTTATATTATAGCTTTGCTACGAACATGAGGTGCCGGGCAATGGAGATGTTGGTACCTCGGTACTCCGAGGAGCTCGTTTTCATTGGGTTGTAGGCTACCACAGACGTCCACACAGACCCTCGCCAAGGAACGCTTCAAGGCGTGGCAGCCAACCCTCACGATACTACTACCCCTACGATACACAGCGTTGAAACCACAGCCCTACCACTCGCTTCATTAGCGTATCACTGCCGCCTCCAATTACTGCAAACGCAACAACTCGTACCTGTCCCGCCCATGTCACCCGCCCAGTAACATACCTACCCGATGCACCGCCTGCACAGCGTTCGCGCGACCGCGAGTCTGCTTCCGCATACACCACCAACCATATCGCATCGGCGTCCCAGATACCCCTCGTGGGGCTTCTCACATCCCTCTCGCAACGGGACGACATTGCTGTCTATCGAAAGACCTGTGTGATCGGCGCAAATCACCCAGGCAGACGTGGAGGAACACAGTACACCTATGGCCTGGACCGCTTTTTTTGAAACGCCCCATGGGGTGCATCTCAATTCCATGAAGTTCTGGTCCTTGGTTTGTCACTGAGACCCTGCCTATGCTTGCGGTTTGCTTGGTTCAGACGCTCAGCGGTAGACAACGTTGGCAAGACGGCTCCAGTGAGTTGGGTGTACACGCTGACGTGGAAGAGCATAATGAGCAGGGCGTTTCGCTCAATTAGAAGCTCTTGGAGCAGGGTTCCAATCTAAAACTGGGCATAAGCATGGCGTACAAAGTTGATCTGAGTGTACTTTCACTCACCGAAGTCTCGCGAGATATCTTCTTGATACCCACAAGTCCAGCTTCGAGCGCAAGATGTATGTTCATGCGGCTATTGTTAATGATGTTTGTACGCCCATCTTCTTCGAAGTTCCCCGCGGCTCCTGCAGCATCGTTGCGCTCACTACCTGCTAGGTCCAGTAAACAAAGCGTGGATGTCGTTTGACGAACGCCAGAAGTGACGTATATGAGAACTACGAGGTGTGTGCGGGAGGACGTCGCGTTGTTTTTGGTCGGACTTTGATTGCGGAAGCTTGCAGTCTCTTCCAGCAGGTGACGAAAGGCGGACAGCTCATTGACTATGTATAGTGGTCGCTGCTTACGGAACATCCGATCTCGTCCTATGTCCAATGGAACTTGACTAGATTTTCGTAGACCTTGTACGGCTGTGGCGGAGATGTCAAGTGAATCCACATCCCTCCCTGAGGACTGGAATACTTCGACCGCGATCTGCAAAGGCCTCACTGAACTAGCGAACAAGTCCTGGCCAAGAGCCGTGAGCACATGAGCCATAGTGTGAGACTTTCCGCAACCACTAAAGCCGTCCACCCCAAAGATCATATGGCTACCCGTAGGGTCAGCTAGCTCGGAGAAAAGCGGGCTTATCTTATCAAGGATGGTCTCCTCAGGCGCTGATGCTGCAAACACACGATCGAAGGTTGTGTATTCCATAGTGCCAAGGGACGGGTCTCGTTTTTGATCCCGAGCGGAGACTTTGGTGTGGTCTTGAATGTCGAAATGACACATCACAACTTCTCGAGGGCATCTTGGACGTGTTACTCTGAGCATGGAAATGTACCGTCGACTCAAGAAACGCTGGCGGTATGCAAATTGTCTGGCGTCCTTCTGGGCCTTCTCCATGGCAAGCTCTTCTGGTGTCTTTGCTATTGGTTGTGCTTGATTCCCTGCGATACCGTGGTGATCCTCAGACAAACAAAGCTCAGTGACTGTGGTAGCGACTGCTGGATCCTTTGCTTCTTTGGGATTCGCTTCATCAGATGGCGCAGTAAGGATTTGAGGCTCGTTCGCGTTGCGTTCCTGTACTTGCTCCAACGTGGTGCGGGTGACTTCTATTTCGTCGCTTCTTCGATCATTAAGCGACTCCAATGACCCGTGACTCAAGGGCTTCCGCCTCCGATAGATGAATCTTTTCCTTGCATCGCCATACAGCATTGTCCGCAGCCGCTCGCACTCCCAGTGCAGATCTTGACCATCCAAAAGCTCAGGGAAAGTCGATTTGAGAAGCTGGGTTTCCCCTATCAAGGAGGAACAGAACATGTTCTCCTGTGTGTCTTCAGTGTGCATGTAGACGAACTCTCCGAGGGCCTCTAAGCTCACAGTGGCGTAATGCGATACTGTTGCCTTTGGAGTAAAGCTTGGAACTTGGGAAGCTTGTAACGAGCGTCTCGGGTATGGTGCCGTTCGGATTTGTGGATCTGAGGCTCGCCGCCGGAGCCTTTTCGCTCTTGCGGTAGCGCATAGCGAGATGACACGGGTCGTTGCTAGATAGCAGGGGCGTGGCGGCGGCATCTGGGTGAAGATCTCGTAGACCCCAGGTAGAGAGAGCCCACACCAGACAGCGCAAGCTGCGCAACGAAGCAAGCATTGCTTGAAGGAACTGGAAAGAAGTACAATATTAGCTACGATCAACAATGCGCACACAGGAACTTAGTATCAGTACCTCTTCGTGCGTACCCATATCCATCCAGTGAAAAAGACTATCCATACGAGACGCGATACCAGAGGTCGCCACACTATCATCGACTCTAGATGCTCGGGGTGTAAAACATCAAGAGACACGATAGCCCAGTTGAAGACGTAAATTGGCAAAAAGACCATGAACATAGCCACGAGAATTTCAATCGGGAAGCGCAGATTCTGAGTGATTACTTAGCCCAGATTCGAGAAATGGCAAAGGACTTACCTTCAATAGCCGCTTCATTGGTGGCTTTAAGGAGCGCACAATGTCCTCATGCGCCTCTTGCAATTGAGGGACAAAGAGGACCATATCGCTTGTCGGGCAGAGACCGCTTTTCACTTTGAATGAGCTTTTCGAACGTGTTTTGGGCTGATTTCAAAGGTCGAGGTAGAGAGGAGAAGTGTCCTACGGGATGATGAAGAGAAATTTCAGTAGCATCTACGTATCTGAGATGCGGCCGAAGCGCAAGTGGACACATTCGGAATTGTCTGAGACAAATGCCCAGGTGTGGGTGCGCGGTCGCACATTGCGCAATCGTGCGCGTCTACAAGATGCGATGAGCGCCTACGCAGCATCATGTTGTCACTGACGCGAAGACGGTAAAATAGTGACTCTGCTGTTCCAATATTTCTACCGCATCATCCTTGCGAGTGCTTGAACAGAAAAGATGGCCAACGGATTAGCCGAAGAGTTGGCGGAATTGGTGGACCGGGCGCAGGATTTGATGGATCAGGCTGGGCAGGTACTGCAGTACTCAGCCACCAACTAATTTTTACTCCTTCACTAACTTCCAAAGTCAAGCAACTTCCGTACTCTGCTCGATGCGAAACGTTTAGCCACGCTGCAACGACTATACGATCAGTGCACCGAGTGCGAGGATGTCCAGGAGAAAGAGCTGAGTCCGTTGCTTAAGAAGAGAAAGCATGTACCTGAGGTCCTTCTTGGTGGCCCTAGGGATCCTTGGAAACGCATCACAAACCTTGAGCATCTTCCCGAAGTTCCTGAGTACGTCAACGCGCACATCCGCAAGCATCCAGGGAATGCAGAAGATGAGAAATTCCTCGGAATTTTGAGTCTTACTAGCAACTGCGGCCAGTATAACTCTACGAACGACCTTGGTAACGCATTCATGGCTCGCTACAGTTGGACTCAGCAAGTGGAACGTCGCGATGATAAGATACACATCCTCCAGCTGTTTAACGACCTTTTCTGGTTTGACATAATGCAACTGTTGAGGCCTCGGGGCACTGGTCGAGTGGGCGCTATAATGCGTGATGAGTTGGACAAATTCTTGACACCATTAGACTTCGATCAAATGAAACTCCAGAAAGAGGAGGTGATGGAGAATGTTGGCGATTGGAGTATTCGCGGCTCAAAGATCAACAAGCTTTGCAGCCGATATGGGCCTGGTGTCATCATAGTCCTTCACAGGCAACTCTCGAGAAGCTTGTAAGATCACATCGCCCTGGTAAAGGTGGAAGCTAACAAATCTAGTCTCGAGGGCAAGTTCACAGCTTCTGGGCCCTACTTTGAAGGGGCTATTCATCGACTAGACGATCTCAAACTCCACAACTACTTGGAGAACACGAACACTGGCTCGCTTGGCATCAGTATCCGCCAGCTTCTGATACGACCATTCCAAGAAGCGTTCTGGCAGAGCGAGCGCGCGCGAAACGCAGTTTGAAAGCCCGCATTGTTTGCGAACTCCAGGACTTGCAACTACATATCCTGGACGGTTGACAGCATGATTTTAGTGTTTGCGTTGGACGAGAATGAGAATGCTGCAAGATAGTTACAAGGCTATCCTACCCCTGTTGTTTGATACTGTGTGGCAGCTTTATCCGTGATCTCTTAATAAACCTCATCGCAAACCTGTACCACAAACTTGTGCAGCAGAACCCTATGCTATTGGCTGGTATCAACCTGAGTCCTCATCAATCTCCACGGCCTGTCCTTCACGTTTGTCTAAAATCAGTCTCGCAATTTTTGACCTCTTATACGGGGTCGGTGCTCGGTTCTGACGGAGTATGTTCAGGGCAAACTTCTGCAGATCCCCCCACTTCTTCTTACCAAGTTGTCGATGGAATGAGCTAACGAGCAGATTTATGAGGTCATTACTGCTCTGCAACTTGTCTGGATTGAGTGTAGCTTTCCGTTCTGAGAATAGCAATTCTCCTGCTCTTGTGGAGTCTGCAATCGCGCTATCGTCGGTAACGATTGAACGAACCCAGAGCAGAGAATTCGCATCTTTGTGTTGTACTGTGATCATGCCATCTCGGTTGAGTCTGCACTGGGCTACCGTCTTATACGGCAGAGAAACAGTATTAGCGCTGCGCTGGACGTTAGCCACTTGAAGCTCGGCTCAAGAACGTAGACTTACCTCTCTCGTATGCTGGTTTCCCACGCTGAACATGCTTTCACACGCTGTGCTGGCGGAGCAATGCTCCAGCTCATCCTCTCTTCCGATGTCCAGACGTTGAGAGCCATGAATATCACAGCTTCGCCTTCCTCGAAAGCACAATCTAGCCAACAAAATTTGACTAAGAAGATATTAGATGGACCCATAGATGGCTTTAAGCAGATACTTACAGGGTATATCACTGTATATTGCTACATTGTTTAGCGAGGTCGCCAGTAAACAAATTGGTGTGACGGTATTGACATTGACCTTATATTTTACGCGTAATTTAGCGAAATCGGCGAAGAGTCGGTCTAACGAGTGAACATCTCTCATACGCTCCGATAGTTCTGCCCAACTGATGCTGGTTGGAGCATGTGCGAGATCTTTGAGGGCTGTCGCTGGAGAGAAGAGTTTTGGAGGGTGCATGAGTATGCTCTCTTGCTCAGCAGTCAGACTCGCTAACCATGAAACCGCTGATTGCGCGTCATCTTTTACATCTTTTGAGGTGCTTTTCTGAGCCTTCGCAGGACCAACAAAGTCTTTGGTGGCTTTGGGTGCCCCCTTTGTCTGCTGGTGCTGATGAATGACCGCGCGACGACGTCCTGTGCTCGATAACAAGTTCATGGGTACCATGAGATGCTCGGGGAAGGGTTCTTTGTCTGCGACTGCTTTGGTAGACATGCACCAACGGCAACGTAGATGCCTCTGCCCTTTCTTTGGTAGATTTCTGTATGTCTCATGCGGTTCTACATACCGGATTTCACATTTCTCACATATGGTGCACTGAGAAGCATCGAAACTCTTCTTGGCAATGTAGGAGTCCGCGAGACCAGATGAGGAGGTTGTTGAGCTTTCGGACATCTTCGCAGGTTGGATAGCCGCACGATAGAGCGTACAATCATGATATATATGTAGATATTGATGAAGGACACAATCGCATCACTTGACTATGATCTCGTGGCGTCTGGTATATACGCGTGATGATTATGGAACATGATGGAACCTTGACGATAGCTGTAGCATGCTGCATGCCACGATCGCATCAGCCAGACATTATGCTTCTTCAGCAGGATAAGTTGCCAGCCATCTCCTCAACCTTTCTTTTTGTCCCTCGTTCGTGTTGCCGTGGCCGTATAGTAGTACAGCTGCCCGATACAACTCAGCTTCCTGAAGTAGAGACTTTTCCTCTTCGTACAGTGCGTGTGCTCCAGCGTCGCGTGTTTCGAACCGACTTGGCGTGATATCTAGCGACGATCGGTGGGGGTTGATCTGGTGGAAGAGATCCCTCTTGACGGGATGCGTTGGATCTTGAGAGCCTATTCGAAGGTCTGGAATGACCAGGCGAGCAAGGAGAACGTTATCGTCATCTTGTAATATCGCTACAAGGCACTTCAAGATCTCGTTGGTGGGTGGAGGATGCTCCTCAAGCCTGTTCCAGACTTGCTCGCAGAACATCTGGACTTTGGCTCCACGATCGCTACAACCAGTGCTACATATATCGTTGTGTAGCTGTTGCAGGGAGAGGTCGGTATCGGTCGGGAGCGTATTTGAGCTGCTCATTACTATCGGGTGCGCAATACGGGAGGCCTTCTTTTAATCGTTGCGATGGGTTCGTACTGAAGACTGAGTTGCGTAGGCTGTCAAGGTAGCCCGCTAAGTCTATGGTATCAATGCAGGTACGTTCACAAACATCGAATGTCTAGTGAAGACATCACCGCTTGGGTAACCTAATCTGTCTAGCGTATTTAGGTATCTGGGTAAGCAGTAGCCTCGTTCAGGAGCTACCCCGCACATGCAGCCCCACCACACTCATGTAACAATGTATGTATCTTAAAGTCAAACGACGGTGCCGCTAGAAAGCAGAGATGCAGGGGCTGTTTGAAATAGATATGTACGTACTTAGAAACATAGCACATACCTGCCTGCACAGCCTGCATGCGAAGTGGTCAGTGTCGCAACCCGGAGCGGATCTGTAGTGGGGGAGATTTGCCAGCGCAACCTTCCATGGTCGAAAGTGCAAAGCTCGGAAACGTGAGTCATGCAGAGTAGATACACCAGAGGTACCGCAGTCGATGTTGATCCACCCATCATAATTTATATATATACTTTTTATCTCATCAACATTGCATCTGTAGATGAAGATTCTTGAGGAGCCTTGGCGCAATGGTAGCGCGTTGGTTTTCGGTTGAAAACATAAAACACCAAAGGTATGATCTAATCCCTAAAAAGCTCCACATGTCTAACGTTCCTCTAAACAGGTTGTGGGTTCGATCCCCATGGGCTTCGCACAGGACAATTTTTTTGCACATATTGAGGCAGTCGCTGTTACCAAACGCTTGGGCCCAGGCTTCCAAGCTCGTGTGTACAAACAGTCCGTGCAGCGAGTAACAAAGGCAGTCTGCTCTCTCGCTTTTTGCTCGCGAAAGAAACCCACAGCTGCTCAACTTACACTGTGTCGCTCTTGATACCTGCAACATACAGCTTCTCACCTGCTGTCATCATGGATGCTACCGCAACTTCCCCTACCAACAGTACTAGCCGCGAGCCCCGCCCGAAGCGACAGCATAAGACAGTGCCCAGGCTGCGCGATATCACACCCTCCTCGCGTTGCTTCTGGAAGGAGGACATCCGCGAACACCTCGCCCAGCAAATCAAAGACAGGACTTACGATAGTACAAACGAGCGCGATCTTCCTGCAAATGAGATTGACGCGCTAGCACTAAATGAAATCGCAGTAGCGCACAAGGATGGGTTCTTTTTCTTCCTGCCAAGCCGGACGAGCTGGAGTCGCCAGACCTTTGAGCCTTCAAATCGAGGACCCGCTCCAGGCAGCCTCAGGTACGTTGAGTCAAGTGCAGCGATGCACTAGGAGACACCGCTAATTCTAGCAGGGCATCAGTTCCATCCCTTGTTTTCATGCGCCATACATGGAGTGAAAAGGGACAGTTGAACTTCCTCCAAGCACCCCACCGCTCACGGTATCTTGCGTGCGACTTCCAGCTCAATCCTCCTCCTGCCCCGTCGCCATTATACTGCATCCAGGTGGTATCGGGCCCTCTCTATCCTGTCTTCAATACATCGCATACCTCGTTCATAATCGTCAGAGCAGATCCAATGTATTTCGGTACGGTGGCAGAGCTTGCGCCAATCCTTGGCCTACCAGCGCGTAAACGGAAAGGGCCAGATGCGGCACAACGGCTAGGTCAGGTAGAGGGCTGCTGGGGCGGGCACGGATCACCTGCTCCTAGGTTCCAGCAGTATGTCTACACAGATATGAAGAGCCTATACAAAGCCATAATTATGGCCTGTCACCCTACTAAGAATGCTTCTAGCATGACGTCGGCTGAGCTATGGACACTCCTTCCACGTCCCTCGAATCCAGAGATTGGCTCAGCCATTGGACTGGATTCACTCTATATGCCCATTCGCTCTCGGTTCGGGGGCCGCCAAGTTCGTCGACTACCAGTAGAAGAAGATGCCAACGAGTCGATGGATTCATGAGGCATTACCGTTTCGAGCTGTCGCTATTCGGAATGTTCCTGCCTGACAGGTGGTATAAGACAAAAGGTCATGTCTCAACGCACAGCATGAGACATTTCTCGTGGAGGAGTATATCATGCGTATACTGCAGCTTCTCAATGGCGTACCAACACCATGACTTCCTCGCAGCTGCAAGCCTTTGCTGAACTAGTACCACTCTCCGCTAGCTCGCATTCGACAACGTTATTGCGACCAAATTTACGCCACATTATCTGCGAACCTCGCTCGTCTACTTCTGCACCCGCCCTCATCGAGCGTCGGATTGTCGTATTATCGTTCGACGCTCTTCTCGGTCATTCCTGTTTCTCGTTTGGATCGGCAAGATCGAATGACTATCAACTACCATTCCCAGGCGAGGTTGCGCCACATCATTTCATCATGTTCTTCCATCAACAGAAGCGCATTCTGTACCTCAGAAACACTTCTCCTCAGGGTCTTTACATAACTCTTCTTGGTCAGCGCAGCCGCTGCATCCAGTCCTGTTGTGAGCCAGTCGAAGTCGCGCCTAATATGCTTATTTCAGTCGGCGGTCCTAGTGGAGTCAAATTTGAGGTCGTTACCCCTACCTCATTCGATTTCCGCCTTCGTGAACGCAACCTTACTTTGCACTTCGACTTAATGCATTATCAGTCGGGTCCCCCGTACTGCGATGCTAGTCTTACGCGCAAGGTAAAGCGGCGACGCAGTACCACGGAAGAGCTTGGGACGATGAAGCGTCAACGTGTTCGAGAGTTGAACGACTGCTCCTCACGACTCTTGACGGATTCCTCGAATGTGGAGATCAAGCGGAATTGGGGTGTTCGACTTTCGCATCTTCTTAGTGGTTTCTTTAGGGCCAAGGCTAATTGATTTGCGACGTTGGAAGTATGGTGATGAAGCTATTGTTGATGGGTTAAGCGCCTGGGTAACGATGCTGGTGCAAGCGTAATTCTTTCTGGATGACTTGCATTCACTACATGTAGCTCTTGGTATCTACAATAGTTCTTTCAAATTGATTTCACTCCATGAATTTGATGCCCGAGCCAAGCATTAGGGGTGGATGGCGAGAGGGTACCAGAAAATAGCTTTTCGTGATATGACATGCTACACCAGTCATGGTGAGGCAGAACGCGTCATTCATTGCAATTAGCCGGTGGAACTAATAACACCCCACCCTCTTGTGCGACTTTGAAAGTGGAGTAAAGCCCGTGCGCCACCGCCGATAGTTCTCCTACTTCCCCGATCGCCTAGCAGCCCGCTACTCCATCTACTCCCCGATCGCTTACCCCACACTCCCCACTGATCTTTTCGCCGCGATGGCGACTGATCATAAACGCCCTTTTGAGACCATTGATAACTTCATTAAGAGTCGCCGCGGTACGTTCTTTGAGGCGGAGATATTCGATACGTTGCTACATCACGCTTTCGTCATTCGATCGCCCGAGTTCGCCTTAGCAGATGGAGCTCTTTTTGCGACTGAAGGCGGTCAGCCTCCACTAGGCAATTACACTGAACGCTTCTGGCGACTCAACGAGGATATCCGGATCACGCGTGGTGATGAAGCACACCGGGCTCGCATATTAGTGCCATTCGACGTAAAGAGTTGCGTTTCAGGCCGCGCCAAAGACCAAACCTACATCACTTCGACAAGGCAACAATCAAGAATGGGATTCTACATTGCTATATGCGCTGCTGACCCAGGGTGGGTTGAGGTCATACCCAATCGGTTCAGCGGCAGCAGATCAACTACAGATGAGAATCGCAAGGTCGCTGTAAATGAATCCCGCAAGTGCATGCTGCCACCGTCAACCTATGGTTTTTTAAGCCCATGCAACAGTAGCTATCGCATGCCCCTTTCAGTCTTGCCACAAGCCTTGAAGGCCCTCCAGCTCTGCGCACAAGGAAAGGCCGACTACGTCAACCCATGGACAGGCGCACAGTTTCCAGGCTGGCGACCTCATGTTGAGCAAGAGATTGATTGTCTAGTGCCGATGGAGAAAACGCAACACTACTCGTCTTTTCAAGGCGTCCATGAAGTCTGGAGGGGCTGCCAAGTAGCACGGGCTCGAGACGGCGTTCATATTCATTTCGAACTGGTCAATCTACAGCCTCGATTAGCGGACTTCAAATTCCTTGTACCCGACTTACGCAGGCAAGGACGACGTCGCCAAGTGTTTGTTCAGCACAAGATTGACAGCCTCTATCGGTCTTCAGCATCTCCGTTGAAAAAGGTAGCTATCGCACGCACGAAACAGAAAGGACGATTAGGATACTACTTCAACGAATTCGAGCGGTATGTTGGCTTCATCCCACATTGTGTATCTGATACTAACACGCCTAGC